CTTGTGACGTTGCGTGCGTGCAAGTGTTGATGTGCCTGTATTATATATATATATAATATATATATATAGAACATTAGATAGGACCACGATTTCTAGGACAACTACCCCCTGCGACAATTACCCCCGCGACAATTAGCCCCCGCCGAACAATTACCCACCAGCAACAATTTACCCACCTGCGATTACCCACCCGGACAATTACCACCCAGGACAATTACCCACCAGACATATAACCCACCATGACAATTACCCGCGGATAATTACCCACCAGGACAATTATCTCCACAGGACAATTACCCACTAACCTTTCCAATAAGGGAAAACTTTCCCCTTCCGTAAATTTTTGTCCGCTGCAATACATATTATTATGTATGTCTGGAGAAGAGAGAAATGCCTACCCCATGTGTTCAGAGAACAGCGGCGTCGATAATTGGGACGGGGTGGGGGGAGTCGCCCCTACCCCTCTATAATGACGGAAATGTTGTATCCCAAATGATCTTGCTCTTGGCCATGTACGTTATGTTATGTAACTGTTTGTGCGTGTGTGCCAGGAGGGTCGTAAATTCCGGGGGGATGGGGGGATGCACCCCCCTGCTCTTGAAGGAGGGGGGATGGCCTGTACAAATATCCCCCCTGAGATTAAAAAAAAAGAGAGAGAAAAAATAATAGCCAGTATGGTTGCAAACATACAAAAACACGTGAAATTGTGAGAAATTGCAATTCTTACCTGTGTTTTAATACATGTATTATTACTATAGTAACCTAACTGTGTACGCTCATGAAACTGTAAAAGTCATGAAAAGTGTTTTGAATCCTAACTTGTAGGGTTGAGTCTAGGGTTGAGATAGTGTCATCAGACATAAGAATATAGCCCACAGTATGCCTCAGATTGCAGGAAAATGGCTAAAATATTTCAAAATTTTACATGCCTACGGCACGTGCCAAACGTACGGTTGTCAAATTTGGCATGTGCGTGCATGTATGTATGCATGTATAAATGTATGTATATGTTGTTTGTTCGTTTGTGTGTTGTTATGTGTGGCATGTCTGGGCATGTGTGTGCATGTGTGTGCATGTGTGTGTGTGTGTGTGTGTGTGTGTGTTGTTGTGTGTGGTGTGTGGTGTGTGTGTGTGTGTGTGTATGTTCGTGCCTGTGCGCGATCGCGCGCGTTGATGGTAAATAATTGTGGGCTTGTGCTCGTGCTAGTATGTGATGGCTATCGCCGACCATCCCCCACTCCTCGGTACGGATTTACGCCCTGGATGTTATTCATTGTATTAAAGCGACCAGAAAATGTCTAGACATGTTACGTGTGCATTGTTGTGGCTGCGCTTCGCTCCCGCTGCTGATGCGCAGGTGAAGGCCGATACTTGCCGATATGAACTTCAAAATCGGGTATCGGAAAATGTCGCAAATAAGTCAAAATATCGGCAGCATCACGAATGTTGAAGTTTGAAATTATGAAATCATGAAGTTAGTCGTTAGATGAATCATCATTACTGTACGGTGTGTGTGGGGGGGGGCTAGGGAATTGTCCGAGGAGAGAGAGAGAGAGAGAGAGAGAGAGCGAGAGGGAGAGAAAGACAGAGACAGAGAAAGAGCAAGATTTGGCTCGACTCAAAAATATCAAAAATCACCATCAGTGAGAAACTGCTTCCCTAAGCGCGTCACAGAGTCGGCTGCCGCTATGTCCATCTCATCGTTGACACGTATTCATGCAAACGCCATATCAATACGACAATATTAGAACGCATTAGACGGAGGATTGGGAAAATGGAGGAGAAAAGTCCACTGCAGCGACCCCCTGGGACTAATAATGCGATGGAAGAAGAAGAAGAAGAAGAAGAAGAAGAAGAAGAAGAAGAAGAAGAAGAAGATTTGGCGAGCTAACTCACGTTCGCACGTCCCTAGCTCCGCCCAATACATTTTATCCGTTTCATCGTCAATCGTGCAGTTAACTAACAAGAAGTTGTCGTAGCCTGCCAGGTATCCACTGGAGCAGCGATAGAGGGCGGTGTCTCCGTATTTTATGCCCTCTTTCGATGTGAAGTCGGCGTGATCGACATCAAGTGGCCATTCGCAAGCACGGCCTGAAAGAAGGAAACTCTGGAATAGTTGTCGTCGTGTAAGTGAAAACAATAAAAAATTGTTAAAGATCACACACACACGCGCACACGCACGCACGCGCGCAAACACGCACATACAAACACACACAACCCCCCCCCACACACACACACACTCACACACAGAGACATACAAATACACACACACACACGCACAGACACACACACACACACACACACACACACACACACACAAGCAAGCAAGCACGAGTATGCAAGCACGCGCACACGCGTGGCGACACGCTTAGATTTTTAAACTAGCGCTTCGCGTGCAGCGTCGTGCCGCGAGCATGCATATTTGTCCGCCCGTGCGCGGATTTATCCAGTTTAATCGCTAATCCCGCGTTGCGTTTGCTGAAATTCGATGATAATTGTAATTAATTATATACAGACGGGCGTGTAGACGTCTGGGACCCAGGTTGCCGTCATCCGCGGGTGACATCCCCTACCTAACGCCTCAGACGCGCATAAGTGGATAACTAGCAGCTTCGCGCGTGCGATCCAATTATAACTGATCAGTTTCCCACCTCATGGAAGGCGTCTGTAGGAAACTGTCCATGTATATTTATACCGGGCTTAACATTACAGATGTCTGTGTGGTGGTATATAACATGCCGGATGTTCGTCACGTGATAATTGGACGCAGTGGTGAAGCTGTACGTACGGATTGAGAATGGGGAGAGCTATAATAGCTATACACACAGCTAGCCCTCTATCTATGAGTATTTCTGACGTCGCATAATATAGTTATTGGTGACTGTTACCCACAGCAGGCGAGGCACCGGAAGGAACGTGTCGCATGGGATGCGTCGACCAGCGACAGGGCCAAACCAGTCTGCATTATGGCTGCCATATTTTGGCATGCGCAAGTTTGACTATACGATGTTTCTTCAGCTGGAAACAACAAGAGGTTTTATAGTAGCCATAAAATTTAGGATTATTGTTATCATGCTATATATAGTGTATAAGGATAGCAATGACTGGTTTGGCATACCAAACAATCCTAACTGCAAGAGGCAATGTAGCTGGCAACAATTATCCGGTTTATTCTGTTTTCAATGTGGAAATATATATATATATATATATATTATCTATATATACTATATATATATATGTGTATCGATCCATCTCTATATATATATATATATATAGATATATATATATATATATATAATATTCCCCTCTTTTCTCTTGCGTAGTAACTGAACCTATATTAACTAGGTCTATATATAAGGGGCGTGCGTAAGCGCGGATATATTCTTGCTGTTGCTCCCACACGTCTGCACATAATTTCAGCTCACTATTAACATTTGATACTGCCTAAATCTCGATAACTATATGAAATAGTTTTTTCAATCGAAAACCTTAATGCAAAGACCTTGCAAGTAGATCGTTGGTGCATCACGCGGGACACGGTGTTGCGCATAACACCACCGTACGTTGACGATAACCCCAACAGCCGGCTGCGTATAGCGAACTAGAGGCAAGTTTGCGTAAATATTTTATATTCAATATTAAAGATCAACACGGGCCGCCGTGTTTCAATCATAGCGGATCACGCGGAATCGTGTCAGTCGAATCAGTCTCAGCTTCTGTGTGTGTATATGCTGCCGGGGCACACGCGCGCACGCACGCACGCACGTACGCACGCAAACGTACAAGCACGCACGCACAGAGAGGGAGAATACGCGCTGGTATCCACACTCTCGCTTACACACGTGCACTCACACAAGTCGATCCTGTATATGAGTAAGCTTGCCGATACTGATGAATACTGTTGGCGATGGATATAGAATTAGAGATGCGCACGTAAAACATGATATGATGCATGAATATTTGGGGGACTGGGAACGTGATAAA